TTTCTTCACCTTCAATTAAATGTGTATTTAAAATGATTTACAAAAAGTGAAAGAACAGTTAATAAGCACGGTGGTCTTACAGAATTTCTGGAGGTAATTATGCATTACAGAAACATAATTTCATATCAGCAAAATAATGTGAAATATAAATCTTAAGATTACTCGAATAATCAGTTTTTAAAAATATCCGAACACAAGTGCTTGGAAACATTCAGTACTTGCTCATTATGCGTTGCATATAAATGTTGTAAAAAAATGGCTTGAAGTTAAATTTTTAAAGTAAATTTTCCAAAATGCTGATAAAATCTCGTTTCCTGCACCTGACCAATTAATTAGCAAAATAATATTCAAATTCAAAATTTCAACAATCAGACTTTCTGAACAATACTCTATAGAATTTGCAAGAAAAAGCAACAACGAAGGTAATAATTTATATTCTGTGAACTATGGGTATATGTTTTGCAAAGCCGAATGTATTATTATCAAGATTTCTCATTTACGTAAACTGTACGGCTCGTATACATCGGACGTACTTTTGAATATTCAATTCTGTAAACATAAATATTCTGGCTTTGAATCGGATAAAAATTCAAATATCTTCGTTTGAACAAGCGCGGCAGCGTTAAACGGTAGCCAGTTTACGGGAATTTTTGATTAGTTTGCCAGATCCAAAGTGTATATGATTAAAAAATTTATTAAAATATTATAATGCCGTACAAGAATGTTATTGATCGGCGCTATTTATCAAATGTTGATTTTTGATAACCGAAAAATTAATGCAGAAATATATGTTAATGATGTATAAGCAATCAATATAAATCATTATGGTAGAAAAACATATTAGAAAATTCTATATAATTTAATTAGTAAACTTGTTTGCACACTATCGTTATAATTTTAAGCGAACCTCTTCAAAAATATGGTTATTGAAGGGATAGAAATACCAATATGAAAGGAATAGAAATTGCAATCTGAAGGATTCTCAAAGAAATCATTTTTTAGGAATAATAGGCAAATATGCTATTATCATCAAAACTAAAATAGCCTATTTTAAATATTTTGATAATATTTGTAAGTACTTTACAAATATTTGGTAATCAAAGAGATTAATTAACAGAAATTTCAATCTGAAGGAATCTTGAGAAATAGTGCATTTTAAAAGCTTCTCAAACCGTATTGCTTATATTATTAAATTGAATTATATACAAATAAGCAAACCTACAATTACCAGAAGGAAATAGTTTAAATATTTTGAAAATATTTGTTATTCAGGGGTGCATTTGAATATTATGTTGTAATGTAAGTACTTTACAAATATTTGTTAATCAAAGACATAGAAATTTCAATCTGAGAGAATCTTGAAAAGTAGTACATTTTAAAAGCTTCTCAGGACGTATTGCTTATATTATGAAATTCAATTATATAGAAATAAAAAAACCTACATTTACCAGAAACAAATATTTTAAATATTTTAAAAACATTTGTTATTCAAGGGTGCATTTGAATATTATGTTGTAATGTAAGTACTTTACAAATATTTGGTAATCAAAGAGTTTAATTAAGAGAAATTTCAATCTGAAGAAATCTTGAAACATAGTGTTTTTTAAAAGCTTCTCAGGATGTATTGCTTATATTATGAAATTGAATTATATAGAAATAAACAAACCTACCATTAACAGAAACACTAAAATAGTTTTAGTGATTGCATAATATGTAATAATATTAGTACTTTGCAAATCTCTTACAAATATTTTGTAAACAAATATATAGAAATTTAAATCATTTAAAAAGCTTATAAGGAAGTGCCACTTATATTAGGAAATCAACATTTTACTGATTTAATATTAAAATGAATTAAGAAAATAAACCTTTGATTGAATTATTTGAACTTATGTAACTGTAATTGTTCGGACGTATTTTCGTTTTATTATATTGGCCATGAAGGTGACAACCTTCGGGGCATTAAGCATTACACGGAATGGTTGCTAACCCTGGTAGAGGGGGTAGCGGAGTGTTTTACTTGAACTAGTTGTTCACTTCTAAAAGTAAAGTCCGCGAAACAACATGTACAATAAATAACCAATAAATATATCTTCTTTCATTATAACTTAGTAAATCAGTGATTGTAGATAGAACTGCAACAAATACATAATATACAAACAAATCAGTGTTTAATACAGTACAAGGGTTACATTATAACCCAACAACCTGAACTATCGAAGGAGAGTTTTTAATAAAATCTATAACAACGAATATAAAATACAGTAATGTAATAAACATTGGATTTGGTTTTCATAGCAAATAAGAAAAATATTGTTGTTCATACATGTAGTACTTGAAAATGAACCATGCTTCCAATATTTATGTTTACAGTGCAAGGAATCAATTTTTATAGATCAAATATGACCACAAACTAAATCCATGCATCCCAATGATCTTTAAATCCAGATAATCAATCCCTTCGTGGGATTCATTTCTCATCCTGATTTTCAAAATTCCAATCATTCCTTCTCAAACAGTCCTTCTGAGTTCGTCACACGGTTAGACTACGGGGCATTATGTGTCAAATGTCAAACAGCGCTTATACAAAACAGTTTTATTGTTTCCCGTCTGTTCACGATCAACGAACTGAGATAAAAACATTAAATACAACTGCTTACGGGGCTCAAATGAGTCTCTATAACACTATTTCATTTAAATTTATAACACTCTTTATATTCTCATGTAAGAGAGAACGAGCAATTTAGCTGATGCATTAGAGTAAATGACACGTTTGAAGATGGAAGATTATTAAACAAACGGAATAGTTGATTTTTAGAGAAATATGTGAAGTTAAACGCCTAAAACGGCTCTTTAAAGCTTAAACCTAAGCCATTTATGTATGCTCATATTAAATACAAGTTTAGAAGAAACAATTTTGCTAGTTATTATATTTATTAAAAACGCCACTGGATTTAAGCCATCAACTCTCCAGATAAAAAATGGAAATAACTTAATTATTATTTATAAGAAATTATTCCATGAGTAAATAGTTATATAATTATCAATAAAATATTGTGAATTTTATATCGAATGGAAAAACAACTACTGAGTTGTTTTTTCCAACATGCCCTTTTAGTAGGCAATGTCCCTGCTGATTAGTTTTTGGCAAAGGCAGGTCTAGCCGTTCCGAAGATACGAGGCAAAAAAAGCCAAAAATGGTAACTCAGTTTTTGAGAGAACGCTGCGTCCGATTTTAATAATTCGCAAACATTTTACTTGTATTGACAAGATGAAAAATTGAACAATTCATGAAGGCAGGTCTAGCGGTTTCGGATATCTAATGAAAAAAGTAAAAAAAAAATGCCATTCGGCGGTCAAAAAGGATCATTAGACGTATGCGCATAAAATTATTAGATATTTTATAGAGATTTTAACAATAAGTATAAATTTTGTTTACATTCCTATGGGTTCCGTACCAATGTTTATCCGTAAGACGGCGACGCGGCGCTTACACGCTTTTACATTTCGCCTCTATGCAGTTAAAGCAGTACGATTGCTTTGAAAAAAGTTCAGAATTTCCAAAATACATATGTCAAAATAAAGAATAAACTTTTTTCAAAAAAAGTAATTTTTTGCCAAATTTATAGTTTCTCAAAAATCTAATTTTTCGAAGTAATATTTTTTCAAAAATGTTAATCGTTTTTAAAAAAAATAATAATTTATCGTACGGAAAGTTCCAGCAATTTTCCTTAAGACACAATGCCATGCGCCCCACTAGTTTAAATATTAACTATTACCAATTTGGTAATAGGTGAGAGCCATGATTCCAATTTCGCTCCATAATAAAACTCACGTGCGGCAAAACAAGTCAATTTGGGTGGTCTCCAAATGATATAATTAAGTGGAATATTCATGCTTTCATATCTGGAATATTGATCGGGCGTTTGATAATAAAACTTACTGTCTTACAGAATACTAGGCTGTCGCGTATCGCTTCTACTAATTAATTTGGATACAAGAGAGCTATTATAATGTAAATTAAGAAATTCTTAACTATCGGATCAATGGATTTATGATTTCGTTTAGAATTTGTTGCTTGGCGATTAGATCGTGGGCAATAAATTGGATTCTTGGGAAGGAGAGACGAACTGGAAACTAAGTCATGGAATATTTAAAAACATCAATGATCAGTACAAACATATAGTTACTCGAAATAGGGAAGTAGAAGAAAAATTTGCATAAAAGACAAAAATGATCTGAAGTGCATAATCTTGTATATATTACATCACACATATGTTTCAATTTATAACACAATAATAGGGAGTGATATACTTTAAGGAATCCTATACTTTGATGAGTCTATATTGAAATTTCTATTTATAAAATCCTGACAGAAAACGGGTCTGTTGACAATAATGTCCCAATACAGTTTCTCCCACAACAAGTAATTAAGTCTGTGTGGCATTGACATATGTCGCAGTAGAAAATGTCCAAAAGATTATACATTGAAACTTTACAATATATATATACATATATATATATATATATATATATATATATATTGTGAAATATTTATGTTTATGATAACGGGTTATCGCTGAATCGTAAACTTGACGCATCGGGCGCGTGTGTGGTCCTTACAAAATGACACCAATAAGGTCATCTCATATTGACACAATTTAGAGTTATGAATGACCCATATCATAATATGAAAAAATGCAAACATTTATGCATATCATACAATCTGATCAGTAGTTATTTTGTATAAAACTAACAGGAAGTATTAAATAGCTTGGGAAAGGGGTTTGTTGGCTGTATAGTATGGCTCCATAATTGTTATGGATTTTGGAGTCTGGAGCAGTTAGGAGATCTTCTTCAACTGAATTCTGGGAGAGAACAATCCTTCAGCCTGCGACAAAAAAATATGCATTTATATTTGATTTGTCACAGATATTATTCAATGTGTTTTTTATAATTGTCTCATATCATAGACTAATATCAATCTTTTCTTGTTACAGACAATCCTGATTCAATGCACAAATATCAGCCAAGGTTTCATCTGGTTCGAGCAAATGATATATTGAAGTTGCCGTACTCAACATTTAGGACATATGTTTTCAAAGAAACAGAATTCATAGCCGTCACAGCTTACCAAAATGAAAGGTAACAATTTTGAAAATTGCAAGTACAATTATTTTGAGATTTCCAACAACACATTTATAAAAAATAATATTCATATCTTCACAAAAAATATTTTCTTAAAATTCGCACACCAATCGTCACAAATATTTTTAAACGTCAAAATTCAATGGTGCCAATGTTATAAAAAAATAAGAAAGTTTTAGAAACACTAATCATACTGAACAGAATTTTCAAACCGTGTTTTCTCTAAAAATAAAAATTTCTAAGTGTTGTTTCGCTTTTTTTATAAAAATTACCATATAAACTAAATTTGTAAATAAAACATGAATACTGCATAATAATACAATTTGGTACGTATGATTATTATCACTTCATACAAATAATGTGCAATATTTGGTATGCATTTTTTTGTTCACATTTCTCTCGATATTTGTATTCGAGCTAAATTATCATTGTTGAAAACTATTATTAAACATTTTAAGTACATTTATCAACATAATATTGGGTTTCAAAAACATTTAAGTATTTGCAACAAGCGACAAACAAAATGTCGGCCATTTTATGATCAACCCTAAGTTGCAAAAAATGCATTACCATATAATGCTTAATACATCTTAATTAATCTTTAAAAACTCACCTTCATATGATTCTACAGACGCAGTTTTCAATCACCATCAATCTGCAACAATTATTCCATAAATATTTGATTTTTTACCGAATTTTAACACTTTTAGTTTCACTTTCTTTACTAACGCGCACCTCAAATGTCAAGTGCCGACTATGCAAATTTAGTGTTGCCGCATAGTTCCTAATTTGTCCGCTAGGATACCGCCTAGGATGACCAACTTCATTGGCGCTAAATTCAAATTTCAAATCTGAAATTTAAAACAAGATATGAAATTATAAATATTGAAGTAATAATGGAAATTAATAACTAACATACTATTAATTCATTATAGTAAAACAATATGAAAAATGTATAATATATGAATATTATAATTCAAATTTGTATCTGAAATATACAAATATAATAATATTAAAATAAAAATTAAAAGAAAAATAATATGTAATATATATTAAAAATAATAATATTAAATTAAAAATAAATTTTAACATTGAGGTAATATTAAAAAAACATAGTACAATAATTAATGATTAGTAGTGCATTAAATTAATAGCTTAATGAAAAAGTATAATAAATATGAATATTATAATTCAGATTTGCTCGAAAATATATTAAATACTAACACTAATTTAACATACTAATTAATTTATTATATTAGCAATATAATGAAAATAGTTATGATATGAATTTTATAATTAAATTCTGTGTTTTTTTCAGATAACACAATTAAAAATTGATAACAATCCCTTTGCAAAAGGATTCAGAGACACAGGGGCTGGAAAAAGAGAAAAAAAGTAAGTACATTTTTACTTATAAAATTATTCTTTTAACTATTTAGCTAGTTATTAGTATACTTTGCTGTATATTTGTTAACTCGAATAAATGCATTTATTTTGATTTGATAAAATAGGGAAAATTTATTCTAATTGAACAAAATATAAAATGATAATGATGTAAGTTACAAGAGTATCAATTGAATATATAAATAGTAAATCATTTAGTTAAGCTCTATGGTAAAAATTGAATGTAACAAAAATAGAACAAAGTATAAAATATCAAAAACCTATAATCAATATGATAAATATAGAACTATTATAGGAGTTTCTTAGCCTTCCTAGCGCGTGCCAGCAGTTAGCGCTTCGGCATATATTTAAGGGATCAAGGGTTTTTTGTCGGTTAAGACTATAAGGGTGGGTTCTTCGTTTAGCATTTATATTGAAGCCCTATTCTCCAGGGACGTATATTTCGCGTTCAAATTGATTCCTCTCAGTAATATACATCCGAACGTGTGTTTGAACCTCGGGGTGATTGTTACACATCGACTTGATCTAATTTCAAAGGTTATATAGGTGCACTTAGATCCCAAAAATACTTGGCCGAACAAGAATTGAAATTGCTTCGAGATTACTTGAATTTGGAGGAAGTCTGTTAGTTGTAGTTATACATAGAAATGAGATTCTGGATAAAAAAAGTAAAGTTTACATCATATGACCTCCAAAAACGTCTTATTGCCCAGTATTTATAGAATCTTCTATCATCTGAATTCCAAAATCCTCCCCTGTATCATTCTAGTCATGGTCTCATCCTGGTGACGTTGTAAATGCTAATTTGAGCAAAATCAGTCGTGGTACCTAGGTGGCTGTTTCCAACGAAAATGGTTTGAGCATTGGAGACGTATGGGCGTTTTGCGACTGATCGAGAGACTCCCTTCAATTAATACGAAAACGCCAACCCTAATCAAGTCACCACGCTGGGACGTGGTGACCTTAAAAAATAACAAAACCGACACAAACAACCTCGAGCAAATAATATCACCTCACGGAGACTATCAATGAGGTATGAATTCGTGAAAGGAATGCTAATGAGGTGGCACACACTTTCTGGGACTTTAAATTGTTGTTTTTGTCACATTTTTAACTATAGCCTAATTAGTCAGATAATAGAATAGAACAATTAGAGATAATAGAATCAAATCAAATTATTTTCACAATGATTCAGTGTTGCAGCAACCTTAAGATTTTTTCCTAAACAATCTAACTACAAATACAATATCAGAGATGGACAAACAGTATGGGATCAATATTGCTCATTTTGTTGAATATATCCAATAATAAAGAAACAAGACATTTATTAATTTTTTTTATATTTAATTTTAATCTGCAGCTTGTATATATTATTACATTAAGCAGAGAATGTTGATAAGTATATCGTAAAATAGTGATTACAAATTAATAGATACCCCCAATGGGGCGGGGGTCTAATTCTAATCTAATTAATATATTAAAAAAAACAAAAGGAGAAATAATTTAATATTTTTTTTTTTTATGAAATAACAATATTATGAATTGATTACAGAATATAAAAAAACTTTAAAGGAATGAATTTTACCTTGTTTTAAAAAATGTATTAAAAATACAATACATCAGAAGCAAAAATAATTTACTTGCAATATTGATTGTATTATGTTTTGTCAAAAGCACATTGTGAAAAGAATTACTTAAGAATATTTAAATTTGGGTTTACTTACAAAATTTGAATATTATATTATTATTTTTATATAAACAGAATAGATTAATAAATAATCAAATTAATATAAATAATTTTTGCTCTTATATTTTTCTACATTCTAGTTAAATATCTCCAAAAAAACAAGTGGTTTATTATTTATTGGATTAATAGTTCGGAAAAGAAACATATCAGTTTATTGAAGAAACTAGGATTTATCTATTAAATATACATATTAGACGGGTCGATTGAAAGGTCACTCAGGCATATATGATTTTCGAGCACTAGTGATCAAAATAAGATACTTTGCTGAAGAAACCATATCTCTGAAATGAATTCTGATGAGTTGAATGTTGAAAAACCGGTTAGGAGAGGTCTCAGGGAATGAACCAGGGGCATGGGTGAATCGGATTTCCAAGGTTAGTGGGGGACAAATGGAATTTTTCAAAATTCAACCCTTATTTTTGGGTCATTGCACGGACATCAGAATTCATTTTAGAGGTATAGTTTCTTCAGCAAAGTATCTTATTTTGAAACCTAGTATCCGAAATCCAGTCCAAAATCATGTGTGCCCAGACTTTTAAATATTGACCCATATAAATCGATACGCTTATAATATATATATAGATACATTTTTTTTGAATTTTATAGTAAATTGATTAGCACTGAATGAAGGCTAAGATGCTAGTTGAAAACGTATGCATTTTAAATAAATAAATTGAAAAAAAAAAACAGTCATGCTATTTTTTATTGATGTAACGCACACACACATATATATATATATATATATGTGTGTGTATGTGTGTGTATTAATTTGCACCCTTTGGTATTGAAATGTTAAGCGATTTTAAGTTGACATTGTCGCCCCGACAGCGGAATACGCGAGCGGTTTGCAACCATCCATCGGCGCACATGTGAGGTTACGCCCAGCGTGTGCGCCGATAGCTCCCTGTCATCAAGCGTTCCGCTTCGTATGTAAAATGCTTTGTAATTTATTACTTAAAACGAAAATGCCAGTCTAATTTCGAACGACTGCGCAAAACGCCCGCTGAGCGATCGGAAGAAAAATTAAACCGCGATCGCTTTGAAGGCGAAAAAGGAACATTGGATAGGAAGCCATGGTACATAGTCTCATAGGCACATTGTGTAAAACTAATACCAAAATTAGTCAGATAAATAATTGTATCATCTAATCTAATCAGGTGACCATATTGAAATTTCTACAATAATTAATTTTGCCAAGTTAATTAATATCTGGCCCTCCCTTCTTAACAGTAGGAAACGTAACAATCAACTATGAAACCCGAGAAACTTCTAAAGATCTCGGTAGATTACTAGAAACAACAAGCAACTTTAGAACGATAATACCGTTTCGGAAACGATAGGTTTTTCTGGTTATCTCTCAATAATCTCTTATGTCCATCTAACAAATCATTGTCTTGTACATATGTGGTACTCACGCCGGACTCCACACGATCGCGATTGCTCGATACTTGGGCTATTCTCGACTTTACTAATAATGCGAATCGATTAAAGCTAATGAGCTTCCAATCCAAACCATACTCCATACCAGGGGTAAATAACCTATAGAATCATTTGCATGTTTTTTAATTCTTGTGCGCCTATTTAAGATTTTGCTCCTCTACCCTCCTCTCCAAATTCAACCGCAGACTATTTCTCACGTACTCCAAGTCGCAAAGATTATTTCAACCCTTCCACGAACACAATAACAGAAATAGCCATGGGTGGTCAAAACAGCTCGGCTGCTGTCTGAATCAATTGCTTATAATTGCTACAATTGAAAGTATTTTTTGACGTGTGGGAAACTGTTCTTCGTAGTTTGGCCTCGTACGAAAAAATAATTATAAGCAAGAACATTCGAGTTATATTTTTAATCACTTGAACGCAGCATTGTTAGAACCGTGTAATTATTGGTAAAGGAAAAACACTCGAAGACAACAAGAGAATATGCGTAGAAAATTAAAATTGATCACTGATTAAAAATCAATACTGTATATCAGACACGGTTATTATAAAAATATATGATGAGAATCGAAATCTTGTTTCATTACATTATACCTCATGCCGTTTGACTACAATCGCGCCGATCTATATACTATTTTTCTCACACTGCCAAATTAGCAAACCATGTATATTTTATATATATTTAATGATCACATTTCGGGGCCAAATTCTGCGGTTAGGCTAAAACACACCAGCGGGAAGCCTCTTGCTATTACACTAGATATTCTCCACAACGAAACCTTCCCCTGGGATATCGCTTTAACCCTTTTCCGTTGTTCGGAAATCAACGACCGCTTCTGGCTAGAGAGAATTAGTTAAGGGTTAAACGATCAAAATAATTTTGCTACACTTGGTGTGACAATAAACCTTGTTAAACGACATATAGCATAATAGATATATGTATATTGATTATAGGAGATTATTGTATGACAACAAAATATTCAGCCTATCTGCAATTATTCCCTTATTAATTTTCTTATCATTTCTTACTAAATATATATTAAAATTTTTCTATATTTTTAATTTTATGTTTTTTTCGATATTGTTAAACCTTTATTTAACTTTTAGTCTCATCTCTTCCAGACAAGCGCTGCTGGCCACTCAAAGACATTCAGATGGATCAGAAAAACTTCCAGCAACGACAGGAAGTTCTCGTGGACCTGCTGATCCAGGCGGAGATAGAAGAATGCATAGAGCTCCTTCGAGAAATTCGCCCGGGCTAGGTGATGATGATGATAAATTGCTCGACGTGGTTGGCACGTCAGAAAGTCCTATGCTGCCAACTGGACATCATTTGACACCTGGACATCCACATCCACATTCTGGTTAGTACCTATATTTATAATATAGTTACTAAATTGTTTAATTACACAAGTTTTTCATCATTTTGTATGAATCCTATTAAATAGCCAAATAATAATTTGAAAACTATTTCTTTATATAATAATGTGAATAATATTATGATTGAGTGCAGTATATTAAATTACAAGAAAAATTGATGTACAACTAACCTTATTTTTTCTTTCAGCCTGGTTCAATTTGTCTGGTGATTCAGAAGATGCAATCCGACGGCGTCTTCAGCAACACAACGCAGACGATTCTGAACGTGGCGACGGTAGTGATTCTAGTTGCTCAGGCAGCGTAAACGGCAGCAGCCAAGGTTTCCGTCCTGCTTCAAGGTCTTCACCACAGTCTCACAATACTTCTGGCTCAACAATAACAGGAGCGAACTCGGATTACCCAGCCCCTAATATAAGTGTTGGCCCGCCGATCCATCCACCGCCGCATTTGCTACCTTATCTCTACCCACCAGGACTTTACCCACCACATGACAGGCATGCATTTGCTCCACCACTGTCATCTCTATTCGGTCACCAATTAGCTGCTGGACATCAGCTTTTTAATGCTCAATTAGCATTAGCGGCTCAACATCCAGCCATTGTTTTCACATTACTCCGGCCTGGCTGGACCAGGAAGTCCACTACATGCGCTTAAGGCTGGTCATCATAGGTTTGCGCCTTAT